TTCATCACCATCATCACCATCATCATCTTCATCACCATCATCACCATCATCATCATCATCATCACCATCATCACCACCATCATCATCATCATCCTGCGTGGAGGCTCTGATCATGAAGGTAACATTAAGAACCATGTTGTGAGGAGCTCAGTCTGTCTGATCCAGAACCAGAAGGCGACCCTGTTCTGATGGATCGGACCTGATGGTTTGAACTGGACCTTGATGATGTATGTTGCTCTGGATAACTGGGCTGGGTTCTGGCTCAGAAGCTCCTAGCGGGTCGAGGTTCCTGGCCCAGAAGCACAGGGCTTCACTGCCAAACCTTCTGATCTGGTTGTTCTGGTTCTGGACACGGATCAGAACCGGTTAAGTTCTGTAGAACCACAAGTTCAGTCGGACTAGAGCTCAGCAGAACCAGTTAGATGTTCTGGCTGCAGGAGTGAATCGGACCGGGCTGAACAGAATCCGGGCCTTTGGACCTGGATGGACCGGTTCCTGTTATGGGAACCAGTCCGAATCTCCAGCTGGTTCTGTTCTGCAGAACAAACATGGGCCATCTATGGTTCCTCTGGTTCTGATCCAAACCCTAAACTGTCATCATAGGCTCCGCCCACCAACAGGTGGAGGAAGCTGGACCCTGGGCTGGAACCAGCCGGTTATTTCCGGATACGGTGAGCTTTACCTTTATCAGCAGAGGGTCCATCAGCATCGATTTTCTGACCACGCCCAGCCGCGGTGATGTCATACTTCCTCTGACGTCAGACATGCCAGCACGTAGAAAAAGTTCTGGGAGGAAACGGACTCGATTATTGTCGGATCCGAAGGGACATCAGGCCAATTCCACACAATGAACCGAACCGAACCGAACCTCAGAGCCTCTCTTTGTTCCGGTCCGAAACCAGCAGCTGAAAGAAGCGGAAGCTCACCTGGTTTCACCCGATCTCCGTTCCTTCGTCCTGTCGCCTGGAGTGTAGCGGTTGTCATGGCAACGGGACGCCGGAAGTAGCGCGGTTGTTAAGTTGTGAAAACGTTGCTGCGCATCTTTTATTTCCGATATAGAAATAAAGTGAAATGAATTTAACCTGAAGGGGGAGCCTGCGAGCTCCACCACATTCAAGAACACACAACCGGAAACAGTAAAGATCAAATCTGATTTCAGCGCAGAATATGGATTTAGATTTTATTAATAAAATGTTGAAGTTAAAATTTCATCTTTAGCTTCTGGATCCAAACCGGGAGAAAAACCAACTGAACAGAATCTAACTTTTTTTAAGCTTAATTTTTTTCCATATTTAGAGTCCATCATCATCATCATCATCATCATCATCATCATCATCATCATCATCATCATCATCATCCCAGTATAGCCATACTGGTTCCAGTCCGCCATCATGTTAACTTGTTTCCATAAATCGAACTATAGAAATAACAGAAAATCTTACTCATGTCTACGAGTCGAACAATCTCCGAGGTCATTGAACGCAGCACCTCTGATGCGTCTTCTACTGCGTCACTTTAAAAAAGATCGTCTATTAAAAAAGTGACTGACTTCAGGCTCAGAGATCATCTAAAACTTTCCAAGAAACATAAAAAACCTTCCTTAATTATTAGCTATATGAATATTTCTTATTTAGAATTTTCCTAAACATCCCGCTGGAAATGAGGAAAACCTGAGTTTAAAAGCGGATATTGAATCATATTGAATAATAAAATACCTCCAGAACTTCCGGCGATCCAACAGTCTGACAGGACGCTGGGAGAAGAACCGACCCACTGATCTCTGTTTATTCCCTGGATTCTGATGGGCCGTTTGGTATTACGGGTTGAGTGAAGCCACCGGCCGCCATATTGGTACTCCCTAATTAGACCGGTCGCAATGTAAACAATCGTTGTGCTACAGCATCGAACAACAATGATGTTCTCATTTTCAGGGACTTAAGACTTAATAAAGATAAATTAATAACTTTGACACAGACTGGCTGTTTCATAGCATCAGTAGATTAACTTTAACTTAGAATAAATAATACAATCCATCACAATAAAATTAATGTGTTAAAGGAGAAGAATAATAAAGATGAGCCAAAAGTGCTAAACTGATGATGAACATGTGATAGACATGGATTTATGACATTGTTATAGTAATTACATCTTACATGTCTGGTAATGAAAAAAAAATCAGAGCTGAAAAGGATAAATGATGCCTCCATCTCTCAGTTTAAACAATATCTCCTGCTCTTTGTTATAATTTCATAAAAACCAAAGCAGGGTTAAACTGTTTTAACCACATTAGTGAACCCAATTATTTTTGGATGAGATTCCACCTCTTCCAAAGGTATCACCATGACAACCAGAGACATATATGCTGCTGTGGTTTTCCTATGTCCTTCTGTTTGACTTTCATCGGTTGTTTTATCATATTTCTTTTTTCCTCCCACAGCAGCAGATAAGTATTTCATAAAACTCCCCAGGAGGCTGCTAACAGTCACCTTTGACCCCCAGGATCAGCCTCCTCCTCCTCCATCTCTGCAGGAAATTGGTCAGAGTGACACCTCTGTTCTCCGTTCTCCTCTCTGAATCTCCAGCAGCTCGTGACGCTGCGCTCATGTCTCCCCCGATCAGGCGTCTGGTTTCGGGCAGAACTTTTGTGGATCTCTGACAGCCGGAGAACACCGCAGATGTTCCGGCTGTGGCTCCAGGCGGCGGGCTTCCTCTGGCTCTGCCGCGGCTCTCTGGGCGCCTCCGGGCGGCTGTACTCGGAGGAGGATCCGCTGGTGATCCTGAGCAGCGACAGCCTGAAGCCCACCGTTACCAACTCGTCCTCGGCCTGGCTGCTCCAGTTCTACTCCTCCTGGTGCGGTCACTGCATCCAGTACTCCAGCACATGGAGGGCGCTGGCCCACGACGTCAAAGGTACCGGTCCAAACTGGCTGTTGTATTTCCGTGTTCAGCAGCTGGGCCAGACTCCGTCCACAATTAGTCACCTTACAAACTTTTCATTAAAACTGGAAACTAACAGGTGTTCTAGGAGTAACCGGACAAGAACCGGACCGGGAGGCAGGTTCTGGTCCATTCGGCGTTGGTTTGATTTCTATCCAGCTCTTATCTTAAATATTACTGAGCAATTGTCTCGCGGGGTTTTAGATCGGCAGCTTTGTTGTTAATGGAACCATGAAGCTTTAAACGGGCGTTTTTCCAAAGAGCTTCTGATTAGCTTTAGCTGCTGCTAGCAGAGCCAATCAGAAGCTGCTAGCAGAGGTAACAGCTGCTGATTAGCTTTAGCTGCTGCTGCTAGCAGCGCCAACAGGTGTACTTCCGGTCAGCATCAGGTGACTGACAGGTGATCTTCCAGATCAAAGTGGTGCTGCGGTTTCCTCCATGTTTGGGTTTCATGGTTCGGTTCTTTACCTGAACAGCCAGGGAGGTCACGTGACCTTTGCTCAGAGGTCCACCGTGGGAACCAGACCTTCAGGTCCATCTGTCTCCACGAGTCTCTGGGGAATCAGGGAGGGGAACCAGCTGCCGTGCACGCCCCCTGCAGCCGCACACAGCAGTCCCTGTGCAAACATGTTCCCATTGAGAGCAGCTGTTGGGGTCAGAGGTCATCATCTCATCCTGGAACAATTTCTGTGTCCCAGTGTCTAACCACTATATAATGGATACCCCGTCCTGCTCCAGAGGTCAGTGTTTGAACCTCTAGAGCAGGAGCCACACGGTCCTCTCTGGAACCAGTGTGACACCCATGATCTAGTGTGGTGCGGGGGGGGGGGCAATTCCACTTCCACTTCACATCAAATGGCTGAGTTACCTCGTCAGGAGGCATCTAGTTCCTCCAGAATCCTCTCAATCATCTAATTACTGGATCCAGGGGAGTCAGACTAAGGGCTGCAGGTTGGCGGCCCTCAGGAACTGGAATGGCCCACCCCTGATCCACTGGATGAAAAAGTAGTGCAAATTTCTTACAATGCACCTTTTGCACTTTTTCCCCCTGAGCCAAGAGAAGCGAGTTCTTCAGGATCTGGAGGCAGCAGCTCAACAGCTGCTGACCTGATCAAGGCTGCACTTTAAAAAATGAAATAATCCAGAGAGCTGTTCTAAACTAAATTCCTTTTTGTTTACACTTGTGTAAACAAACAACTGAACCTCTGAGTTAGAGGGCGGGTTCTGGTTCTGGTTCTGATGGGTTCTGTCTGTGTCAGACTGGCAGGGCGCCATCGGACTGGCTGTGCTGGACTGCGCCCAGGAGGAGAACTTCGACGTCTGCAAAGAGTTCGGCATCAAGTTCTACCCGACCTTTAAGGTAGGACTGTGACCCGGCCCGGTTGAGGCTCCGCCCCCTGCTGGAGCGGCCCGGTAACGCCCCCCTCTGTCTTCTCTGCAGTATTTCCGGGCTCATGGGGAACCGACGGACAGAGGGACGATCTACAGAGGTGAGATGATCCCGTCCGCTTCTGTTCTGTACAACTCTGGGCTGAAACCCAGTTTGGACCACCTGGAGTTCTGATGGTACCAGAGTCATGGTTCTGGAGCGTCGGGTCCATTCGAACAGTTTAGTCTGGTCTTCGGTTCTGTTTGGGTTCTGGTTTAGAAGAGAACCGGCAACAGAGATCAGAACCGCAGCATAAAATCCGACCTCTGCTGACCCACTTAGCTCAGCTCTGGTTTCATCAGAACCAGGCCGGGGAACTGGACCCTGACCCGGTTCTAATCCACTTTCTCAGGGTTCTGGTTCTGTTCTTGGTTGTTCTGGTAGTGGCAGGAGGCAGTTGCCATGGTAACCGTTCTCTGACTGTTCCCAGGAGCCGACAGGGAGGTCCGGTCCGTCCGCCAGCTGATGATCGACATCCTGCAGAACCACACCGCGCTGGACCGGCCCGAGAGCTGCCCTCCATTGGAGCCGTTCAGGTACCTCTGCCAGAACCAGAACCAGAACTCTGCTCATGATGTCACTGTTAACCCGTCTGTTTGTTCAGCTCCGCCCAGCTGCTCCCCTTGCTGGGCCAAAGGTCCGATCACTACACCGCCATCATCCTGGAGGAACCCGACTCGTTCGTGGGGCGCGAGGTCAGTTCGGGTCCTTGGTTCTGGTTGGGTCACTCAGAGCGGATGATCTGAAGCTGCTGGTTGGTCCTGGAACCTGAAGCAGACTCTGACCCCCTGACCTCCATCTGCTTCCTCAGGTGATCCTGGACCTGCTGCAGTTCTCAGGTGTTCTGGTGAGGAGAGCTCTGAGCTCTGATCTCCCCCTGCTGGACGCTCTGAACATCGCAGCCTTCCCCTCCATCTACCTGCTGCATCCAAACGGGAGCCACGCCCAGATGCACAGGTAGGTCCACCTGAAACATGGGGGGGGTCAACTTCCCCCTAGGCTGCTTCCTCGTGGTTCTACTACCTTAAAGTCGAAGGGAAATCATTCTGGCTTAAACATTTATATAAATGT